TGATGTTGAGCATTTCTATTCATTCACTAATTGTATAAAGTGCTTTTCAAAAGTTTGTATTTTAAAATGATTTGTAGAAATTTAAAAAATGTAAAGGCCATACAAAATTGGCAAATATCTTCTCCTAGACTTATGTAGATGAGGGCTTTAAAAGGGGACTGAAAATTCTCTGCGTAGAAAATAGTATCATGGCCCCATCTTGATGCTTAAGAAAGGGACATTTTAAAATAGAACAAAGGGAGGGGGACTTGGGTCTTGTCCTCTTTAAATCTATCACAGCTTTCTTAAGTGGAATTCCAAGAGTAGCAGGATATGCATCTCATGCACTTGTTGTGAACAGTCAGTGTTCATTTGATTATTCTTGCAAATTCAGTCATTAATATGTATTAGTATGAAATGCTATCATCACACATAATGAGATTGTGCTTTGGGGCTGAGGATATAGCTCAGTTGGTAAGAGTATTTGTCTTGCTTGCACAAGGCCCTGGGTTCAATTCCTAGCACCACAAAAACAAACAAACAAAAATAATATTGTGCTTTGGGTAAATAAATATTTGAATTCCTACCATGGGCTTGCATTGTGCAGGTCACTGGAGGCACAAAGATGGAGATGTCAGCATCCCCACACTCAGTGAATTTTCAGGGTACTCAGGCTATTTTTGTGTCTATCATCCTGTTTGTGCACACAAGAATAGGGTGATCTTCAGCTGGTAAAATAAAAATAAAGTGTCCTGCTTCTCAAATATTTGATTCTCATTTTGGCACTGCCCTAGTTCTCTAAGTTCTTCATTTCTGAAATAAATCTTTGTCTCAACCTAATAGCCTCATGAATTAATAATACCTGGAGAAATTCTCCTTTCTCAAAATGCACAATTTAAATGAGACATACAGGAACAAATTATATTTTTAAGGAAACTACAAATCATAAAATAGGAACACTTAGCCCCCTACTTTCTGTCTCAAATGGTGCTTCAGAAGATATCCAGATCTTTTCATCTGTGGGCCAGCCACCTTCAACACCAGTCTTCTAAGACTGACGGATTTGTCCACATTGAGCTAGCAGAAGGAGAACATGGAGGCTGGGAAGTTTGGCTTTTTTAAAAAAAGTTAAAATTTGTTCTTTTTAGTTACACATGACAGCAGAATGAATCTTGACATACCATATATACATGGAGTATAACTTCCCATTCTTGTGGTTGTACGTGATGCAGAGTTACACTGGTTCTGTATTCATAGATGAACATAGGAAAGTTGTGTCCAATTCATTCTACTGTTTTTCCCATTCTTATCCCATTTCCTTCCTTTCATTCCCTTTGTCTAATTCAATAAACTTCTATTCTTCCCTCCCCCTGGAAGATGGGAAATTTTTATAGCCAGATCTGAAAGGGAAGTTCTATTGGCTAGAACTCAGTCACATGACCACAGCTCTTTGCAAGGGAGGGTGGGAAGCAGTTGGGCTGTGTGAGGACATGAGAGGGGGTGAGATGTTGATCACCTGGAAGGCTTTGCCCCAGGCTCTGTGATGGTTTGAATGTTTTTGTCTCTTTCAAAATTATGTTGAGAGTTAATGCCCTCCGAAACTCAAGTGTTGCCAATGTGATAGGATGAAGTGGTGGGTCTTTAAAAGGTGATCAGACCAGGAAGTCTTCTTCCTCATTACTGGAATTAAGGCTTCATGCTGTGTTTGGCTAGCTTGTCTCCCCATCTTCTGTCCTGTGAGGACACACAAGAAGACTCTCACAAACCAAATATGGGTGCTACCTTGATCTTTGATTTCTCAGCTTCCAGAAGAATAAGAGTAAATTTCTGTTCTTCATAAATTACCCGGTCTCAGGTATTATATTATAGCACCACAAAGTGGACCAAGACAAGCTTTATGATGACAGGGCATTTAAGATAGATTTTGACAGAGATTGGGAGAGGAGGGTTAACTTGGGTGAAATGAATGACATAAAGAAGGACTAAGCAGTATATAACAACAATAAAATGCGAAATTCAGTTTGTTAGGAGCATTGAACACAGCAGGTAGTGTGGGAGAAAGTGAGGTTGAGACTGGGTCCATCCTAAAATCACATTTTTGGAGGTTTTGAAAGCCAGACTGAGGAGCTCACTTCCAGCATGTTCTTTTGGTTATCAGGGCTCATTTTCCCTTGTAGGAAAATTGTGGACCAGATTATTTTTCTTTTTTCTTCATCCTCTGACTTTTCCTGGGAAACGAGTCCCCATGTTGACTCTAGCACACACAGAGAAGGGTTCAGACCCTCAGCAGGAGCAGCTTCATTTTGAGCTTTTCTATTGGAGGATTTTAGAGGCTCCAGGGACTTCCTGCTAGAAACCAGTCTATGCATGGTATCTGCCGAACGCTGTGTTTGGGATGAATCCCAAATTCTGGAGGAGGAGGAGGGAGGGAGAGGAATTCCTTTCAGACCCTAGGACACAAATGAACACATATCCAGGATCCTGGAATTTCATTACCCATGTTATCTTAGACTGCAACTGAGGTTCAGAGTTATAAAAGTATGCCCTTAAAACTCCAGTCACAGCCTGCTCCTAATGACCACCCAACAGTGATTAATTAGGAAGGGTGGGAACTGGGGAAATCCTTTCCCCTCCCTTCAGTCTTGCCAACTTGGCTCTGAACCTACAAGAATATTTTGGTCAGAAAATATATGTCCCCACACCCTCTACCCTCTCTTTCACCCTCACCTCTGCCCCCACATTGGACATTCTTTTTGGTAATCATGTGTATCCACATTTGCTGAATTAATTTGGACCCAGGTTTTTCTATGCACTGTCCCTAGAAGGATTCTGTGGGATTTATTCCTCCTTCCTTGAGCTTCTGATTGTAAAATTAAGGACTCTGAAAATTAACCTTTGCTCTACAGTCTGGGGATGGTTTCTTTCATTGGTCCCACCAGGATGTAAGCATGATTCTGTGTTTTTCTTAAACCATTGAAAAAGAGAGAAGATGGAATCTTTGAAGTAACACCTAACCTACTAAAAGGTTCTTCTTTTCAAAACAAACTTGCAAGAGGTTTAGCACACAATTTTTAAATCTTGAACACTTTCCTTGTATTTGGGGTTTGTGGAAGGGAGGTATTCAGTTTCCTGGAGCAAAGGTTTCTAGGTACTTTTTTCCCTCTGTCTGGCCACAAACTAAAAGGAATTGTTCTTAGGTTGTGCCCTTTATCCTAGGTGCCACTTTTCTCCTCTTCTGCACCAAGACTCTCACTGATTCCTTCCCTGACGCATTCTGCCCTCATAGCCGTCCAAGAATGAAGCCTTGCAGCTGGTGGGCATTTGGTGTTTTTTCTCTTTAAGTTGCTCACACACTGGGAAGATAAAACTCTTCAGACCAATGCCTGGGATATACCAGCTCATTCCCTAGCATGCTTTGAGATTCATCTCCCTCCTGAAACACTAAGACATTTGGAGAGAGAACACGGTTGATGTAACCTGAGCAGAAATTAAATAGGCTTTGGTCCAAGTTCTAGCATAGCCTCTTACCTCTGTGGGACCTTCAGCAAAATACTTGACTGCTCAGAGTCTCTGAGCCTGAATTTTGACAGCATAGATTGGTTTTGGCTGTTTATGAATTTTACCACGATGTTATTGACTTTTTTTATTCCATGTTTGTGAGAATCAAGTTGTTCCATGAAGCAAAGTTTTTTCCCAATGAAATTTAGATGATTACATTATATATTACAAATTATTTGTCCTTTATTTGGTCTGTTTCAGTTATCATAAATCACTTTTGATGATGATTCTTATAAAATATCAAGTAACATGACATACTGGGTTCCCTAGGAAACAGCTCTGAGAGAAATTTGCTTGCATGAAATTTATGCCTTTCTACCTTCGAGATTAAAGTTGCCTTCAACATCAACATGGTTCATCAGCTATTACTGTAACAGAATATCTAGATAATCAACTTAAAAAAGGAAAGGTTTATTTTGGCTTTACAGTTTTCAGTTTATGGTTGGTTAGTCCCTGTTGCCTTTTGGGCTTGTGGAGAGTCAGTATATCATGATGGGAATGCATGGTGGAGGAAGCTGCCTACCTCATGGTGGCCAGGAATTGAAAAAGAAAGAGACCAGCATCTCACAACCCTTTTGCAGGACGTGCCCCCACCTCTTTAAGGTATCAACACCTACAGTAGCACCACACCAAGGACCAATCTTTACCACATGGGCCTCTGGGAACATTTCAGATCCAAACTATAGCAAATACCTATAGGACAATGAGAAAGTCACAACTAAGTGTTCAGCGGATTTCTGGGGAGCTCTGGAGCCAAAATGGCCCTACAGAGTTGTATCAAGTTGGGCAAGGAGGCAAGGCCTTTGAACATTCCTCATTGACATAGGGATGGGAAAATGACCTTGGAAGAGACATTCTCTCTTTGGCAGAGATTGGGGGCCACATCTGTGAGCTGTCAGCTATCAACATTCCTAGGTGCTGGTGTAATGAGTAGTTCAGCACTAAAATGTGGAGAGAGCTGAAAGAGAGATTGTGTGTGTGTGTGTGCGCGCGCGCGTGCACATGTGTTGGCAGAGAGTCTATGAGTACTCCACCACAGCATCCACTACATACCATTGGTAATTGCTACTTATAGGACATGGGTACATTTAGCTTTAGTAGATAGTGTCATATAATATTCCAATATGTTTATATCCAAATATCATCTTAATTAACTTAATTTAGATTCTGATATCCCTAAGGAGACTCTTACCAAAAAGAAAGATTTAAAAAAGGAAATCAAATGTGAGAATATTTTATATCTTAACCTATTTTGTATTGTGGAGAAAAGAACATTGAGAATGATTGGAATAAGCTAGTTATCATTTTCTAAATTACAGCTTGACATCCTGAAAAACTGTCAATGCTGACCAAGCTGTTCTGAAATCTAGTTATGGAATCAGTAGATCTTAAAGCCTACCTACCGTGCTGAGAAAAGAAAGAAAATGAGGTGTGTGAATTGAATTTCAAATTTCATTTTTCAGAGTGGCCAAATCAATGAAGATCCCTGTATATGAGACCCCAGCTGGATGGAGATTCTTCTCAAATCTGATGGACTCGGGACGGTGCTCTCTGTGTGGAGAGGAGAGCTTTGGCACTGGTAGGTTTGGTTGGGTTGAAGTAACTGGGGGTGGGGCCTGCAGCTCTGTGAGCCCTGTTTGGAGACCTGTGACCCTTCTGTGAATCAAAGTCTGGAGGAAGAATTAATTAGAGGGAAAAAAATCAGACAGTACGATGTATGCTATGATACCCACTATGTTCTTTTTAAACATTTCTCTTTAAATTTTTTTCTATTATGGAATTAAAAAAATGAATTCCTATGTGCCTATTACCCAGTTTCAACTATCATCAACTCATGGTCAGTCTTGCTTTATCTCTGTCCTCATCCACAAAGGGAGCCCACCTCCCTGATTATTGCAAAGCAATCCCCATACCTTATTATGCTGTCCATGAATATATTAATGTGGATCTTTAAATATAAGGGCTCTTCAGAAAAAACACATAACGTCAGTATCATTATCACACTTAAATTTGTGTAAGAAATTTTTCTCTTTTTAGTACTTTAAAGATGTCATTACATTGTCTTCTGGCTTGCATATTTTCCCGTAAGTATGATATAAACCTTATCTTTATTCTGTATAAAGTACTGCTCTAGCTTCCCTTCTATGTCTGTTTTTATTTTTTATTTTCAACATGTAATTAAAAATTTTAATTGGTTATACATGACAGCAGATTGCATTTATGCACTTGGATATATCATACATCATGTGATATATTTATAATTTCTCATTTTTTCTGAGTGTACATGTTGTAGAATCACATTGGTCGTGCAGTCATATACATACATAAAGCAATAATGTAGGTTTCGGTCTACTATCCTTCCTATCCTCACCATCCTTCCCCTCTCCTCCCTCACTTCCCTCCACCTAATCTAAGGTAACTCTATTCTTCTCTAGTGCCCCCCGCACCGTGTGTGTGTGCGCGTGCGTGCTTCACCCTGCTTGATGCTCTCCTGAATTCTTGAGTTGTCATTTATAAATTTTAGAAAATGTTCAGCCATTGTACTTTCAAATATTCCACATTATTCTTTCTCTCTTTTCCTTCTCAGACTCCTGTTACACAATATGTCATATAATTTGTGACCACAGAAATTATATTGGAACTCTTGTGTGCATTGACCTGATTTTTTTTTGGGGGGGGGATTTCATTTTTGGTAATCTCCACTGGTATATTTTTAAATTCACTGATTCTTATTGTATTCAATGTGTTGATGGGTCTATTGAAGGAACTCTTCATCTGTGATATTGTTTTATTTCTAGAATTTCTCTTTAATTTTTTCAAATAGTTTTAATCTCTCTACTGAAAATAGAGCCATATATTTGTATATGTTGTTTGTCTTTTCCATTGTTTTATTTAACATATTAAACATGATTATTATACACACTCTCTCTGATAGTTCCAGTATATATTTCATCTCTGACTCACTCTGGTTCTGTTTATTGCTTTATCTCTTGATAATCATTTCTTTTTTCTTGCTTTTTATGCTTCTCATAATTTTTTATTAAATGCTGGATAGTTTGTGGATAAGAACAGTAGATACATATGCAGGTAAAGAGTACTTATGCCTAGACATGGGCGTACCTTTTCTTTTGGGGTATTAGGGTGGAAGGTTAAGTTAATCTAGTCAGGAGCTGAGCTGGGTTTGGGTTTTACTGTTTCTGTTATAAACATTATCGAACTATAGGCTTAAAATTCCTCTAGAAGTGGGATATTTTACTGGATAATAAAACTGGGGACCACGTGCTGCAGAGATTTTTTAGACATTCCAATTTCATCCTCAAATTACGGCAGTGACTGCATCACTATAACACAAAATAGTGCTCTGTCACCAGCTTCTTGAGCCTTCTGCACTGGCAGCAACTTCTGCTTAGTATTGCTGTAGGATTCTGAGCCCAAGAAGTTTTCCTAGCCTTCCCTCTAGGGACAGATAGTTTTTTCTGCCCTTGATCCAGCAGCCTGGACTCTTGGGATGAGAGGTTTTCAGCCAGGGACTTGAAGCTTTTGTTTCACATGAGAAAAGGGTTGGGGAAGTAGTCAGGCTTGATGTTTGTCTTCCAGCACCAGCTGGTCATCTCCTACTGTCTAATGCTTGCACCAACAAGTCTCCCTTCCTGTTCCTGATCTTTATTGAGAACACTCAGTGGAGGTCGGTGGGAATGAACTTGAAAGTGTTTCCCTCATTTCTGGGACTTCAAGTGATTTAAGCTAGTGTAATTGGCTACACTTGACCTTTACACATTCTTACTCGATTTCTTATTGTCTTCTTGTTATGGTGGCCTCCTCGTTCTCCTGCGCTCTGCCAAAGGTGAGATGGTTTTTGTGGAATGGCTTGTCACTTTTTAGAATTTGCTTTTAGAATTTATTGCCTTGTGATGTTAGATCTCTGATGAGTTTCTGTAGATTTCCTGGCCTTCTCTTGTTGCTAGGATTGCAAAACTATCTCTTGCAAATTTCTGTATTCAAAACAGAGTACAGAAATGGAACTGCAAACATAATTTCTTATTTTTTCCATTTTCTTTCTCCTCTAACCTCCAACAGTTTGTTCCTATTAGGAACCAAAAGATCTTACTGTGTAAGTGGTTAATATGTCTGTTTAAGTCTCTCTCAATTTGCATTTCTCCACTATACGTTTTCTCCTTCTAAATTATTCACTGAAGAAACTGGGTTACGTGTCCTAAAGAGCTTTTCAATAACTTTGATTTTTGATGTTTCTATCTTCATTTTCCTTTCCAATTCGTTTAGTGCTTATATAAAGAGAAAACATTAATAAACTACTAATATGCTTTTTTCCCCAGTTAGTACATTGTTATTATAGTAGTTTATTTCCCAAAAATTCCACTTTATCTTGGATGTTTTGTTTAAGGTATACAGCCATATAATCTATTACCAAATTTTTTTTTGTATTTTTAAATTTTTATATCTTTTATTTTATATTCTTGTTACATAGCTATCACCTTGAAAATAATATTAAATAGTAACTGTGATAGTTCATAATTTAAATGAAAATGGATTTTGTATTTTGCCATCTATTTTAATCATTGATTTCAAATTGGAACAATAATAGATTCATGCAGATTAGCTTTTCTATCCCCCCCTCTTTTTTTTTTTTTAGAATTGAAGAATTTTTTACTAGTGTTGGAAAATGTCCCCAAGCTTTCAAACATTGTCATGTATAATTAGTAAAATCTAAAAGTAATTAAGAACATAGCTTGCCAAATAGTGACAGGACATTAGATTAAAATTCTTTTTTTAAATTTAATTTTTTTATTAGTTGTTCAAAACATTACAAGCTCTTGACATATCATATTTCATATATTTGATTCAAGTGGGTTATGAACTCCTATTTTTACCCTGTGTACAGATTGCAGAATCACATTGGTTGGTTATATATCCACGTTTTTACATATTGCCATACTAGTGTCTGTTGTGTTCTGCTGCCTTTCCTATCCTCTACTATAATCCCTCCCCTCCCATCTTCTCTCTCTACCCCATCTACTGTAATTCATTTCTCTCTCTTGTTTTTTTCCCTTTCCCCTCATCTCCTCTTATATGTAATTTTGTATAACAATGAGGGTCTCCTTCCATTTCCATGGAATTCCCCTTCTCTCTCCCTTTCCCTCCCACCTCTCATCCCTGTTTAATGTTAATCTTCTTCTCATGCTCTTCCTCCCTGCTCTGTTTTGAGTTGCCCTCCTTATATCAAAGAAGACATTTGGCATTTGCTTTTAAGGGATTGGCTAGCTTCACTTAGCATAATCTTCTCTAGTGCCATCCATTTCCCTGCAATGCCATGATTTTGTTATTTTTTAGTGCTGAGTAATATTCCATTGTGTATAAATGCCACATTTTTTTTATCCATTCATCTATTGAAGGGCATCTAGGTTGGTTCCAGAGTCTAGCTATTGTGAGTTGTGCTGCTATGAACATTAATGTAGCTGTATCCCTATAGTATGCTCTTTTAAGGTCTTTGGGGAATAGTCCAAGAAGGGGAATAGCTGGGTCAAATGGTGGCTCCATTCCCAGCTCTCCAAGGAATCTCTATACTGCTTTCCAAATTGACCGCACCAATTTGCAGTCCCACCAGCAATGTACAAGTGTACCCTTTTCCCCACATCCTCGCCAGCACTTGTTGTTGTTTGACTTCGTAATGGCTGCCATGCTTACTGGAGTGAGATGATATCTTAGGGTGGTTTTAATATGCATTTCTCTGACTGCTGGAGATGGTGAGCATTTTTTCGAGTATTTGTTGATTAATTGTATATCCTCCTCTGAGAAGTGTCTGTTCAGGTCCTTGGCCCATTTGTTGATTGGGTTATTTGTTTTCTTATTGTTTAATTTTTTGAGTTCTTTGTATACTCTGGATATTAGGGCTCTATCTGAAGTGTGAGGAGTAAACATTTGTTGCCAGGATGTAGGCTCCCTATTTACCTCTCTTATTGTTTCTCTTGCTGAGAATAAACTTTTTAGTTTGAGTAAGTCCCATTTGTTGATTCTTGTTTTTAACTCTTGTGCTATGGGTGTCCTATTAAGGAATTTGGAGCCCGACCCCACGAGATGTAGATTAGAGCCAACTTTTTCTTCTATCAGACGCAGAGTCTCTGGTTTGATATCAAGCTCCTTGATCCATTTTGAGTTAACTTTAGTGCATGGCGAGAGAAAGGGATTCAGTTTCATTTTGTTGCATATGTATTTCCAGTTTTCCCAGCACCATTTGTTAAAGATGCTATCCTTTCTCCATTGCATGCTTTTAGCACCTTTGTCAAATATAAGGTAGTTATAATTTTGAGGACTGGTCTCTGTGTCCTCTATTGTGTACCATTAGTCCACCCGCCTACTGAGAACCTTATTAGAAATAGCTGTTAGTTTATCATGTGCCTTGTTTGATTTAGTGACATATTAATACATTTTTTCCTTTGATTATGTGAATGTAATGAAATAAGATCAGTTTTCTGTTATCAAACCATACTTGAATTCCTGAGAATAAATCCTCTTGGGTTGTGCTAAAACAAAGAGAGGTTTTCAGCCAGGGACTTGAAGCTT